TTCATAACACTATTATGATTATTCCCATCCAAATTATACTTGTAATACAAATTATGATAAACCACATGCACTGTTGTGCATTTATTATAATTAAAGCCTATCTGCCATTTATTTGCCCAACTTACTAGTTAGGCCTCACTTGGAATACTGTGTACAGTTTTAATCTCATTATTTAAAAAAAGGTATTGATTTAATGGAAAGGATGATTTCTGAAATGGGAGGTTTATCTTATGGGGATAAGTTAGTAACTTTTAACCAATTTTCTCTTGAATAAAGAAGAATAAGAGGTGACCTTAATGAATTTTACAAGTGGTGATCTTATTGTGTTGTGTTCTGAAGAAATCAGGATGATAGGGCAAAATTTTAAGATTTTGAAAAGACAGGCTATGCCCAAGTAAATACAGTTTTAGTGTTCTAACAGGGAGGTTAGCTTATGGAATGAGTTTATCTCACTAGTAATGTAGGCCAATACCTTATAAAAGTTTAAGAGGAGAATCTGTGATTTCCTGAAAATGGTAGGTTTAATTTTATTTTTTCTTCTGGATAGGTGTGCATGGAAAGCCCTGAAGAACTAAATGGTTCCTTGTGTGTAGGTTGTGCTCCTTAACCTAGATCCGGAGCCATCTCGTGCTTCCTGACCATGATCCCCTATTGTTAGCAGTTGTAACTTCTTGAATTTCTGCATAAATAATTATATTCATGACAATAATGTTATACTCTGGTTTTTAATTTTTTTTTGTAATTTTATTATCATGAAAGGGTGCTTCCTTAAAATATTTTAAAATTGTTGAATGGTAAACAAGTTAATGTATTCATACAAGACATAGATTAAAAATGTTTTACAGATGCATTCACTGCATACATGTGCTCTGTGTTTAGGCTGTCTTGAGCCCCATACTGTGTTTCTTTCCTCATTTTTTTCAAAAAAACCTAATAACTATAATAGTATCTTATTGTTACCAAACACTGAAGTGGAACTTTCCATGCCAAATCTTTATTAAATTTTGACCAGTGGTTGAAAATAGTGATAGTGTACTAGCACATTTTCTACTTTTGAATGGAGTTTGTTTTTTTTTTTCACAGAAAAAGTTGTACAACAAAAGAGAAAACATTCTGTTTTTCTTTTATAAATATATTTACATTTATTTATGCATGAATAAATCATCAGTATTTACATGCATACATGGAAGTATTTGTGGATTGTAACAGTTATTTTACGTTATTAGTAATTTCAACATATCTATTCAAAACTTGCAACTTGTAGTGCTTATTGGATATTATGTGATAATTGAAGAAACTCGAGATGAGATTTTTGGTTTTTGCACATGTTATGGCTGCTTAATACAAAGATTTGTGGTAGTGAGCTCATAAATGTTTTGTGATTCACACACTAGTACTTGTGCAAAGTCTCTGGAGTGTTATGTTTTTTAATTAGTTGTGGGTCATTACTTTTTTCTTTTTTGTAATACACGTCAGCAACTAGTAAATAAAAGTAATTTTAATGAATTAATAAGAGGTGTGAATGTGTGTGTCCACTAATCTGTTAGCAGATCTTTGCTATTTCCATTGGTAACACTTCGTGAGGGTACATTCTCTTTATATGCTGAGTTTAAAATTTGAAATAATGAACTTGATGGAGAGCTGACCCCATTAGACACACACATATATACATGTATATATTTTTATGTATACATAAATGTATTTATATATATATATATATGTATATACATTTAGTTTAAACTGAGGATACATTAACTTGGAAGATGTCATCAAAAAGAACACTACAGGGAGATTCCCCTAGTGGCAGCCAACCTCCAACCAAAAAAGTACATTTCGAGCCTTTAAGAATTGGGCCTGTTTCAACTTTGGTAAGTTTGAAATTAAGAGTGTTGATATACAGGTAACTTAAAAGTACATTTTCATATTTTATAAATTGTTTTACACAATTAATTAATCTAATTATTATATATGAGTTTTTAGTTATCTAAAATATTTTCCTTATGTTGTTTTAGGTTTTTAAATGTATTTACTTTCAAGGGTGTTTTAAGTTTTATGGAAGTAACATAACCACTACTAATATATAAGCAATTATTTATATAAAAATAATTGTTTTATGTATATTCAGTTGATTTCTACAAGGTTTCAAAAACTAACATTTGGTTTTAAAATGTAATTTTTTAGTTCTGTATGAAGTCATTGAAGTTACAAAGTATTGAAATATTATACGTAATATTAATTCTCCAAATAACTATATACAGTAATGTGAAGATAATATTTTATTAAAACAGTGCTAAAATTTAGAATGGGAGGAAAAACAAAAAAAAGATTGATGCCTGATCTTATTAACAAAGATAATGTGGGTAAAATTGAATGATAATATCATAATGATTCATTGCCATTAATATAGCATCATAACATGCACTGGATTTCAGTCTTTTAGCCATGATTACCTCAAGTTTGGAAGTAAAGACATGCAATCATTATGTGGACATATAAACAATTTTTGTTTCAGTAGACTCTTTATGAACACATTTTTATGTCATAAACATACTCATTACAGACAACTGTGAACAGCTAACATCAACATGGTAAGTGCTATAGACAGGATATATGAACTGCTTATCCATTAGACAGTTAACCTTTCAGGCAAACTCTATTCATATTTATATCCCCCTGATGTCTAATGGATTAACCACTGATACATTAATCTTGATTGTTGCTGATTATGAAGTCTGCTTTTTGCTTAAGAAAATCACTTGACTCTCAACCTGCTTAACATATTTGCCAGGGTTGCAGAATAGTTATGCACAAACACACCTTGTGTGCTGAAAGATTTGTTGCCATCCTGTAGATTTTACTGTACTGCTGATAAAAACATTCTCATGTCAGCCATCCTCTGCCTTAAACTTCAGTAAATCACCTGTGTGTCAATCATAAAATGTGTAGAGTTTATTCTCTCTGAGCACCACATTAGTGTATGTTAAGAAAAACAAGAACAGCCAAAAAAATATCTGATTCCAATGTTGTATTCACTGAGACTAGTGTTTTGTTTTCCTTCATCGCTGTAGACAAACAATTAGGTGGAAGTAAATCACTGTATACTTACTGGGTACTTGAATAAAGCAACCTTTGGTTCATTTAAGCTCCTGGTCTATCAGATTTCTGACACGGTACATTACCTCCACTCACATGTATAGCTATTCTCATTCGGTGCTGCCCTTTATATGCAAAATTTTTTTTGCGTGCCACATACCCCATGATCAATGTAGTTCAATTGCTTCACACATGTAAATCATCATGCAACAACCCTCCACCAATAG